CGCGCAAAGCCCAATCCGCGCGGGACTAGGCATGGCGAGCAGATGGCGCGCACGCGCAGGCGGGACGCGGCAGGGGCAAAGTGTGCGCGATGGCGCACGCGTGCAGGGACGGCGCGCGGGAAGCCGAGTTCGGCTAGGAGTAGGAACCGAGGGCGCACGCGAGAGGCGGCGCACGAGGGAAGGCGACCGAAGAATTGGGAAGAGAAAAGAAGACTTGGGCATCAAGATACTTGGTGTGCAAGACTATTAGTATTTTAGTTATGTTAGGATTTTATTTCCTTTATTGCTTTTAATTAATATTTTAGGAGATATTCTAGTATTAGGATTTATATTATTGCATGATTTAGGAGATCTAGTAGATTTAGGCTTAGATTTATTTTGCTCTATAAATACCCCATGTACCTCATCATATTTGACAAGTTGAATGAAGTATTGAATTGGTGAGCCAATTGAGGGGGAACTTTATGTTCTTAACGTGTGATAAAGAAGGCCATTAGTGCGTCTTTACATGCAGTGTCGGAGAGAAGGCCAATAGTGCGTCTTGAAGTCACGGTATCTAGAAGAAGGCCCTGAGTGCGTCTGCTAGATACACCTATCGGGGATAAACGAAGGCCGCAGTGCGTCATTTATTCGCAACCCAGTATAGACAAAAGATCGATTCGTCATCATTTGTGCTTTCATTGAGAGGTGTTGATCGTGTCTTTGTCTATCTTATCTTTTATTTTTTTTCGGTTTGCCTTTTGCTGAGGGGCCGAATTTCTCTTCTTTTTTGGGTCGAAATTTTCGAATTTATTTCGAATTTTTCATTAAAAAAAAAAGTGTCATCTTGTTAGTCCTTTGTTATTTTTGTTCGGTTATTACCTTTTGTTGAGGGGCCGAATTTCTTTTTTGTTTCGATTTTTTGAGTCGTTAGGGGTTCGAATTTTTTGAATTTTTCCCTATTTTGTTCGAATCTTAGAGTCAAAAAAAAAAAGAAGATGATGTTTGAGCCATTAGTTGAGTGGGATCAAGAAGATCTCGAATATCTCGAAGGTTTGGAGAGGGAATTAACCCCTTGGGAGCAAGAGTATTTGGAGGAGATGCACGGGCAAAAGAAGGAGTATGAAAGACAACTCAAGATCATGAAGGAGTTCGTCGAAGAAAAGCCTTTGTTTAAGTCCTATCTATCGGGCTATGTTGAAGAAGAGGTTGCCGAGTGTGTGGACGAGCCGATCGAGTACGATGAACCACATGCGCTCGATGAGGGGACCATGGGCGTGAATTTCTCGATCAATTACTTGGGTCCACCGATGTCCGACAATGACAGAACCGTGGACGTCGAAGAAGTCAAGACCGAAGAGGACCAGGTAATCAATGTTGCAAGCGAGATCATGGTCGAAGAGGTGTTCGAAGTCGAGATCTTGGCCATAGTCGATGAGGATCGTGAGTGGGATGTGTGCGTGATCGAAGAAGGAGTGCCCGAAATTTGGATGGTCGAGGATGAATCCTTGAGGACAAGGACATTCTCAAAGGGGGCGGGAATGATGCGGAAGTGGGTTCTGAGCCCCGACGACAAGAAGATCCAAGAGGTGAGACGTCCCGATGAGGCTGGAAAAAGGGCTGAAACAACGTATGCATGGCCTAAAAGACGGGTACGAGCTCGTATGCGGGGTACTCACACACATGAGAAGCGGCGTGTACAAGGCAGTAGACAAGGGCGTGCACACGCGCATTGGCGTAGACGCGCATGGCGCTTGATGGTTTGGTGAAGTGGTGCGCAGGGGGTTGATGTTGGGTGGTTGATGCGCGCGAGGGTTTATTGTGATTGGTCGGGCATGGCCAAGAGGAGAATAGGCGAGAGGCGCGCATCGGATGGTGATGCGCAGGCGTTGGGCGTAAACGGGCGTACACGAGCACTGGACGTGCGCAGCGTGCGTGGAGGTGGCCGGGATGCGCTGGCGTTGGACAACGGAGGCGCGGGGCGCGCTGGGTGCACGGGTGAAGGTCACGCGGGAGGATGCCGAGGCCGAGTAGGAATAAGCGTAGTAGGTACGGGCGCACACGCGCGAGGAGAAGGGGACGAGCGCGCAACGCAGGCCGAGGGTCGCGATTGGGGGCGCGGACGCTGGCGGAGACCTAAGCCTCGCAGGCTTAGGAGTGCTGGGCACACACGCGCGGGGAGAGGTTGGCGACCAGCAGGGATGCGCGAAGGATGACGCGTGCGCGGATGGACAAGGCCCAGTCCGCGCGGGACTAGGAGAAGCTGGGGCGCACGCGTACGGGACACGCGGGGCGCGCGATGCCTCGCGCGCCAAGGACTAGGGCACACGGACGGGCGGCGCGACGCGTAAGGGGCGGCCGAGAGTTTTTAATGTAGGGTTTATTTTTAGGGAGCTTCTAGAATTGCTTGATGTGCAAGCCAAGCAATAGTATTATGGTAGTAATAGGATTTTATTGCTTTCTAGACTTAGGATTTCTATTCTTGCAATATTTAAGAGATCTATTAGATTTAGGCTTGGATTTATTTTACAACTATAAATACCCCATGTACCTCATCATATTGAAGACATGTTAAATGTTGAATGAAGTATTGAATTGGTGAGCCAATCTTGAGGGGGAACTTATGTTCTTAACGTGTGATAAAGAAGGCCATTAGTGCGTCTTTACATGCAGTGTCGGAGAGAAGGCCAATAGTGCGTCTTGAAGTTTCACGGTGTCTAGGAGAAGGCCGCAGTGCGTCTGCTAGATACATCTATCGGGGATAAACGAAGGCCGCAGTGCGTCGTTTATTCGCACCCACGTATAGGTGAACACACGA